GAGGGAGTGAGGAGCCGCAAAAATCGTACCTTTTCGAGATAAAGATATACAAGATCCGAGAAATCATTCGTCACACAATAAGCTGTCATTTTACCAAAGCAAATAGCGCAACTGTCGAGAACAGCCTTATGCCGACTTCGCACCAACACATTCCACACAGAGTCATACGTATTTTCTAGCGCGCTTCTTTCCAACTTCGAAAATTCACATAACGTAGCCAACATTTGGCAGTTTATCTAAAAAATCAAAATTACAGGTCCAAAAGATAAGCAAGTAGCGCTTCTCTAACGCTGAAAGTTGAAAATGTCAAACATTACGATTCGTTCCCTCCTTGGGAACAGATATGGCGAAAGTCTTGAGTTTTAACAGAATCGAAAAAATGGTTGTTGGCAAAGTGCAAAAAACGATCCAACAACAAATAATTTTCGAAAATTTTGTTTATAAACCAGAGTAAACAAGGCCGCCAGCATGACACAGTTAAACCTGGTTCTTCGATCCTGCGCTACAGAAATTTAGGATCGAAGGGCCAGGTACGTACATCCCGGCTAGGAAATTAATGTGCATTGGAAATGTGGCGCTTTTCGAGTAACGTAGATGTAACTGTCAACTTCTTCCAAGTGAAAACCATCTTTACGTAATCTGACTACAAACATACCGACACTTTGCATTATTTTTGTAAAAAAAGAACACACATTCTATCAGAAACAGAAAAATATGGGTAATAGAGGAAAAAAGAGTAAATTTCATCGTCTTATAGAAAGTAGACAAAAAACAAACCCTCAAAGTATGAGAGTAGCGATCAATGTTATTGCGCTGCTCATTGCCAATTAATAAATCTGGGCATCGTTTTACCAATGGATACAGCCTTTCATACAGTTCAGTAAACGATGTACAGTGCCCGGCTCTTTTACTGCCGCTCAGTGTTATCATTTCAGCATTCGACAAAATGCAAACGTATGCCCAATGAATAGAATCAATGGGAGCTTTTCCAGCTGTATGTACCAAAATCGTTGTCACAGCGGCCTTGATACCTGTTTTAAACAAAAAAACACTAAGCAAAATGCCTCGCATAGGATGTTGTTTAATCGTCATTTTCCAAAAATTCTGTTCTTTTCTTGTTGCCCCAATATTTGATTAGTTATTATAAGCAAAAGTCAAATTACGGAATTTTTGAGAAAACCATGAACTTACTATTTGTGTTTGACAGCATGAAGGGATCCAGAAGATTCATAATTTCCGTTACTTCCGTTAACTGCAAGAGCGTTTTCACAAAATCCTCAACTGTGTCGATATTATCATTTTTGAGTGCTTCAACTAATTTAGTTTTCACAATCACTTGAACATCTGGCTGTTGAACGACCGTCAAGCATTCCAGGACTCCAGCACTGAAAAAAGCATTAATCAGTGGAAGAAAAAATTAAAACGAAGAATACGGATAAGTGACGGGATGTCATTTGTAACATAACAGCTTAATGAACCAAAACAATCCTGTTCACCTAACTTTTTAACATTTTTTTTTTAAATATCATAACTAATGTCCAAAAATATCTCTGGTGTAACCCGAACGCTGTTACTT